TGGCATGTCCTGAAAGCGAAGGATCATATTAGCCTTTTCCATTTGTAATTGTAGCAGCTGCTCTTCTGTAGAAACTTGCTTCTTTTCCAGTTTTTGTACTTTCTTCTTCACTTTTTTGGGTAGTGGCGTCCACTTCTTTCACCTTCTCATTTGTTTGATTCATCATTTTCAGAGTCTCGCTTATCTGATTTTGTTGAGTGGTGATACACTGGGTCATTGATGTCATCTGCTCTTTGAGATTATTCATTTGGTCCAGCAGGTGGCGCATGGAGTCTGCCAAAGTCTTTGCCGGCTCATTGGCTCCTTCCGGTTTTGGGCTCTCAGTTACTTTCGATTTCAGACGTTTCTCTTTCTCCATCCTCTTCCCCGCCATCTTTTTTGCTTTGTTTACTTTCGCAAACTTTTTGAAAGTCTCTGAATATGCGCTTAAATGCTCACACTCACCTTGGTAAGTACTCCTTAACAGTTTTAACCGTTTATACTCTCCCCCACTTGCCTTATCTTCTGTTCCGTGGGGTGGGGAGCTTCTTTTCTTTTAATCAATGCTTAAACGACTCGCATTTATAATCGGTCCACGGACCTCGTTTACACTCCATTTCTAACGCTCGATCTTCTGCGCTTGCCCCGGTCAGCGACACTTAGTCCATTTGGTCTTTCAGCACGAAGAACTGTCAGAGCAGAGAGGTGCCTCAATTCTCTGGCATTACGCCGTCGAAGAGGCAACCTCTCAAGAGCTCCATGGCCAGGGTCCCTTCAGCCGGGTCCCTGGGGGAGTAGTGAGCCTGCACACACCCTCCTTCGGCTGGAGCGCAGCTTCACCCCCGGGAGGTCCGGGAGGTGAGTCTGCTAGCGTGCCGCCATCAACTGGAAACTCATTACCCTTATATTGTTGTGATGCAGCCAAATCTTGTCTAAGGCCCCTTGGTAAGTTTGTGGCTAAAGGTGAGGTTTGAACTGGGAACTTCTCAGTTCACACCACTCCTAATGCTCCGTTTCAGATTTCTGCAGTCCACATCCCAGGTTTGAATCCCTACTCATGCTATGGAAGCTTGCTGGGTAACCTACTTCGCAGGGTTGTTGTGAGGATAAAATGGGGGAGAGCAGAATGTTCTAAGCTCCTTTGCGTCTCCATTGGGGGAAAAGGTGGGCTACGAATGAACGAATTAAATAAATCCTATCGCACCATTTATTGGATGTCCTATCATGTGAATTGTACTGAATTACTCTGGGTAATCTGCCTTGAGTCCCAGTGAGAAAGGCATACTATAGCATCAAATAATAAAAAAAAAGAATAAAAGAATCATCACCCATTATAACTAAAAGATCTGTCAGAAGGCCAGCAAGCTGCTTGTGACTCCGTCTCCTCTCTCTCAGCTCCCTTAGCCCACTGTACTTGTGTAATGATTTCCACTAGTGAGGGTGCACAGTAGTTTGAATCATGCAGCACCATGCGTCAGGCACATTGGGGGTAGGATTAAGACTCCCAAGAATCCCATCCCTGCTGATGTGGTGCTTTTGGGTGGATTGAATTGTACGAGCATGTTGATAGCCAGCCAACCTATCCAGCCAACTGGAGACCTTGACCATCTTCAAGGGCTTTCATGCAATCTAGACATGTATCTGTGCCGACAGCAGGAAACTCTTGGACTGTAGTCCCACCTCTGCAAGGGGACTTTTGTCTTACCCTCAATATATCCTTTGGCTTTTCTATTGTGATGTCATTTCTGTAAAGGCCTCTGAGTGAGAACAGCTATCAGAACGCTTGATGGTGCTATGATCAATTTGCATGCTGAGCTGATTGCCAGAAGAGCTTTGGAGAATGTGTGTGTGTGTGCGCGGGGGGGTGCTTTGCCATCTTGCTGCTTCTCTCAATTGGCCAAGGGCTCTAATCAGCTTTCCTGGCTGCGCTTTCCCTGATAAAGCTTGTTGTGTAGCTCTCTTGCTATGCATAGTCTGGCAAGGAAAGACTGCCGAAAGCACTAGCTGTAATTGTGCTTGCACCTGCCCTTCCCTCTGTTTCTCATCACTCTTAGCATCATGCGAATAGTCAGCAGGTTTTTCCTTGCTTTGCTGAATGTCCTTTCTGGATGCTAGTAACCTATCTGCCCCAGCAGAGGGCACTGTGAGCATGCATCTTGGTAGAAAGCTTCGGCCATAAAGAGAGACCGAAGTGTCCTTGACTGTTCCCTGTAATTGTCATTTAGTCGCCCCCCCCCCTTTGATGGCTATTCTACTGACCTCTCTGCCTTGTTTCAGCAGTGCACCTCCAAGGTGTTGGTTTGAAAATGTGACAGTATGCGGGGGGGGGGGGGAGAGAACCCTTCTCCAGTTCTGTGGCAAATTGAATAAGAAAACAGACAACTGGTTCTGATGGTTTTGTTTTCTCTTTTGAAGTGCTGAGCGCAGCATAACCCATAGTCCCTCTGTCTCCTGCATCTGCAGCAGCACAGGGTTCAGACCAGCTGGGACGCCACAGGCTTCGGATGGGTGCTTCATGTCGCCCTGAATCTGTGCTTTCTGGCTTTTTCTAGGGTAGGGGAAGTACAAGTTAGGGGCCTGTAAATAATTGTGCTTGTGGAGAATGAGACCCCCCTGCAAAAAAAAAAGCATAAAAGCACCAGACTGTTGAACTCCAAGAGTAAATTAGGAGCTTCCTGCTCAGCTCTGAACCTCAGCAGTACTGTAGAGCAATTGTCCTAACTGATTATGTAGCTCAGAAGCGGAGCATCAGGTGTGTGTGTGTGTATGTGTTTGAGAGTGTTGGGGGGTTGAAACGAAGGTATCTGCATCTCTCAGCCCTTCCTTCCTTCCTTCCTTCCTTCCTTCCTTCCTTCCTTCCTTCCTTCCTTCCTTCCTTCCTTCCTTCCTTCCTTCCTC